TTTCTTTAAAACAAAGGGTTGCCAAACCTTGACGGAATGCCTTTTATTATGGGCTGTAGACAACCCTAACTTTAGAAATTCCCTCCCCTTTTGATGTGTTTTATAATGATCTTTGTGTAGATGTACATATTTTTTAATATTCTAAAATCAGCTTTATAGTTTTGGGAGGAAGTTTGTTTTGAAATTTCTTCACATGCATATTTGAGCTCTGAAACCACCATTCATCTATGGGACTCCCTCTAGTGACTCCTTCAAGGCCTCTTTCTCTTCGCCTGATACATCCAATTCATCTCCAGTCCCACATATTTTACCTCCCAGTCGGTATCTTTCCTCTCTATCCACCACTTGACTTCACAGGTCCGTATCTCCTGTCACCCACAAATACAGAGGTCATACTTTGTCATCTCTTGTCTCTGGCCTCCAGTGTCTCCCCTCTCCAGCCCGTCTGCGATGCTGCCCTCCAGAATACTGCAAATCTGCTCATGCTACTTTTCACCTTAAGATCGATCTATAGCTCCCTGGTAGCTGCATGAAGTCGATTCCTTAGCTTCACACAGCATGTCAAGTCCTTGTGACTTGACTCTTGTCCATCTCTCCAGCCTCTTTTCCCTCTGCTTTACCCCCTTGAAATCTGCACTCAGGAAAACAAAATACACAGGGTTCCCCAAACATAAACTGTTTCCTACCTTCCTATCTATACCAAATCGATCCCCACATTACTCAACATTCATCATTCAAAGGTAGTTCTAAGAGTTCCGATGCCTTCCCTAACACTCCCAGACAGAATTAACATTCTTATCTCCATCCCTGTAACCAGTACCCCTGGTAAGTGCCCTCTCTCAGTGGCATGGCCCTTAGCTTAAGGGCCAAAGACAGAAATCTGGGCTTAATTTCAGAGTACATCCAAACCACAAAGTCCAGTTTGTCTTAGTCCTACATAGCTCTAATGCTGCCCATAGTACAGACTCCTATCACTTTTGACTTCCCGTCTCCCTATCTCAAGTCTTACCTGGTAATATTACTTCCCTGCTCACAATTGTGATGGTGCTATATCACCTCAATATGGCCCAATCTTCCTAATTGCCAAGGCCTCTCAATTTACCTCCTAAGTATCACTTTCACTTGACTTTGAGTTTCTCTGCATCTACAGCCATTCCTTATCTGAGGCCACCATGAAGAGAGGAATACCCAGATCTGATTACATGCCTCTGTTTTTACCCCCACTCCCATGCTGTCAGGACAAAGCTCTCACTCTTTAATGTGGCACACTGGCTGCTCATTAGCTTCATTAGCCTCTCCCCACCTGCCTCCCTACCCTCTACCTATACACTTTAGCCTGGCCCTTTACACAAGCCACTCTCCCACCTAGTACTTTCTCAATATTCCTCCCCTCAGCTAACTCCTGTTCATCCTTCAGGTCTCAGCCTAGATGTGTACCCCAAAATATATTCCATAAAAATTGTACACTCCTCCCACTGGGAGTGGGAAATGCTTCTTCCCCAGTCCTGACGTTTCCTTCCCAGAGGGGAGCTCAGTTAGTGTAAGTCCGGGCTTCTTTCCACACCCTTAGTTTCCTGGTCTCCAGAGATAGTTTATCTGACTGGTACATTTTGAGACAATAATTGGGCACGAGTAGGCCTTCAGCCTTCCTCCTCTTGAGAGTTAGCTGCCCTCAGAGAGCAATTCTACTGTCCTTCTGAGGCAGCAAGTCTGCCTAATTCAGAAAGTCCAGTTAACAGGGCCAGTTGGCTCTCACATGGAATGGTAATACGTGATACTTTGGCCTCTATCTTTACTCTTTGTTTTCCAAACTGGAGAAGAGAGATGCTTTATTTTTGGACCTCTTCTGAGATCAAGAACACTCATCATAATACTTACCATATTATACCATAATGTCATTCTATTATAAGCTTCCCGAGAGCAGGAATCAGCTCTTTCTCATCCTCATATCCCTAGTACCCTGCCTAGCACATAGTAAATGCCCAGTTTGCCATATGAGTGAGTGAAGCCCACCATGCCCTGACCCCAGCAACCTCTCCAGTCTCATCTCCATTGCACTCTTCTCTGACCCTGTATTTTAAACTCCACAATATTAACTTTTTTTTTTTTTTTTTTTAGAAATAGGCTATGCTCCGTCACTTCTTGATATATGCTATTCCTTAGGTCTAGATCATATTTGAGGCCCCATATATTCCAAGTCCTCCTTTAAAAGTCAGCCCTGGAAGCCACCTCCTCCATGAAGCCTTCCCTGCCTCCTCCAGGCACACACCATTTTGTTTATATATGCATTCTAACGTACCTCTGCATTTTCAGAGTACTCATATCCTGTGTGACCTACTAGACTACCGTTTTTCAGACATTTATGTATTCTATAAAGCAGAGCAAAAAATACACTTTATATTGCAACACAGTACACACATTCATTCATGTAACAGGTATTTATTACATGTTTACTCTATGCTAGGCACTCTTTTAGGCCCAGAAATACAGCAGTGAACAAAGAGGATATAAATCCTTGCCTCCAAGAAGCTTCTATTCTGGAATTTTAGGTTGGGTACAGAAAGATTTCTTAAGCTTTTCAGATAGGAAAGCTCAGAAAGAAAGAAAACTCAAAACACACAAGGAAAAAAAAATCCACTGGCCTTCCATTTTTCCCTGACAATATTCAGTGTTAGAAGACAATGAAAACAATGTTGATTCAGTTCTAAGGGGAAAACAAACATAATCCATCCAAGCAAAATTATGCCTATGCACCCATCCTTTTTACCAGCACAGACACCTGGAATGATGTTCACCAAGTGTCAAGACTGGTTATTTCTGGGTGGCCAGTTTAGGGTCTTGTGTTACTTTTTTTTAACCATATTACCTGAATTCATATTAGTCAGGTATCATTTTTATAAAAATCCTAAAGTTATTATAATCTCTTGATAAAAACAAAAGGAAAGGAAGTATGGCAGTGTGCATCACAGACATTAATAATTAATCCACAAAAGGAAGAATGGGAAATTAAAAAAAAAAAAACAGGTTTCACAAAGTAAACTTAACCTTACTACATGAGATGAATTCTGGTATTTCATACTCTATTCTATTTTTCTTAAAGGCATTTTGCTCCACAAAATTGATTTCCATGTCCACTCATGATTATCCATAGCTTGAAAAATATATATGAGGCTTAACGATAGTACAGATACCTTTTCAACCAAGTTATCTCCAAAGAATGCCCAACATTTAATAGGCACTTAGTTAGCATTTCCTGATAAACAACTTAATGTGTGCACATTTTCCCAAGAGCAACTTGAGAGCAGAGGTCATTTTTTTTTCCATCTTTGCAACCCCAGGGCCGGGCACAGAGCCAGTTTGCAAAAACTGTTTTATAATGATCTTTGTGGAGATCAAAATAAATGTTTGTTGCACTGAATTGAGGCCTACTAGCTAAACAGCACAATTTTAATATAACACTTCATAAATATGATGTTTAACAAATGAAACATTTCTCTTGGTTCTTGGTAACAAATATCCTCAAATTAGGAGTTTTAATTATAATAACTAGTATTTGCCCACAAAAACAGGATGTTCCCTGGAACAACCTCCCACTTCACAGATGTGAAAATGCTTCTCCCAGGAATTCAAACCCAAGGCTGCATGTGCCAGGAAAACAAAACACACCAAAAGGCGCCTTTGCTGGCTCTGAACCCTGATCCTCAAAACTTCTATTTTTCTTAAGCAAAAGAATTTCAAAATTGTCAGATTACAGTTAATTTTTAAATGAGTTCATTTTCTCCCTCTCATACTGTACTGTCTAATAGTGTCAGAAGAGTTGGGGTATGGTCTGTGTGACCCTATTACTACAGTCCTAATGATTTGTTGAGGGGTAGGGGAGACGATGACCTCTGAAGGCTCTTCTACCTCACAGAGCTGTTGTACACAGAGAAAGTTCGAGAAGAAGCCAGAAAACACAGGTTTCTTTCACAATGACTTATAACCAAAATCTTTACAGGAAAACAGTATCAACAAAACCTTAGTGTTGAACAAATACCACTTTTTCAAAGAAAGTTCTCTTACTTGAGAGACTTATCCATACTATTTCCTCATGTTCACATTTGTAACTACTGTCTTCGGTTTTCAAAAAGAACACCATGGCTGCCCATTCTGTTGGACTAAAAAAGGGTTTTTTTTCATGGCTGGCAGAATAATTTCTACCCGGCTAAGGAAATTGAACTTTTTGGTTTAGTTTAGTTTATTAAGATTTTTTAATTTGCTTGGGGGAAGGGACTGTCTTGGATATTACTGTTTTCTGTATCTTCCTTTCTCTTTCTTATCCTCTCCAGCTGTCTTCATTTGCATTATTTATTTAGACTCTGGGTCCAGTGGACATACATAAGTTGACAAAACGAAAAGTGGCCTCTCCCAAAGCATGGGGGAGATAGAGGCGGAAGCCAGCCTAAGATACAACTCTCCCAGCTTTATCTCTAGGAAGGGGAGTCTAGACAGCTGGGTTTGGGTTTTTTTCTTATAAAAATTAAGTGAATATGTTTGTATTATATGTTTAATTTGCACCACTAACACCTGAATGGATTTTCCTCATAAAACAAGGACTCATATGAGGATATAAGGCCAGTGCTCCCTCCGGACCCCACTCCCACCCCAGTTCCTCTCCCACCCCTCAAAGGGCCAACGTGTGCAGTGTCCTCCAGTCTTTCTACCTATTTACACACAATTTTGAAGCTTCCAGGGACATGAAAACTTTGAGAGCCACACCATGCACTTCACACACACTTTCTCTGACAGCAGAATGTGACTTTGCTCCTTCTTAACCCCAATCCTCCGGCTCCCACTTCCCTCGCGGGTCCCCGCGCCCCCGGAATCCCCTGTCCTGGCTCCCCGCATCCCGGGGTCGAATCTTCGCTGTGCGCGCCCCCGGGCGCCGTCCCAGAGACCCGTACGGGCAGGGCGCTCGCTGGGGGCGAGCCGGGCCCTCAGTCCCTCCAGCGTCGCCTTACCCGCCGAGAACCGTGGCCCCGAACAAGGAAGACCCGGCCTAGCAGCGCCATCTTGGACCTCCAGGACTTGGTCTGGGAAACACGCAGGGCTCAGGGGGCGGGGCCGGGTTACGGAGCCGGGGCAGACCCGGGCCGGGCCGTGGAGCGGGGGCGGGGCCGGAGCCGGGGCGGGGGCTGAGCGGGAGCGCGATCGGGGCTCCGGGGCGAGGGCCTGGCCCAGGCGGGGGCCGATCGGGGGCGGGATCGGGGCCGGGCCGGGCCGGGGACGGGGGAAGGGGGCGGGGGCGGGGCCTAGCGGGCGCGGGAAGCTCGGCCGGGCCAGGCGGGCGCGAGGCGCTGGGGCGGAAAGGGGAGCGGGGAGCAGGGGGCGGGGCCAGAGCGGAGGCGGGGCCGGGGCTGGGACCCGGAGAGGGGAGCTGGGGTGGCCCGGAGCTGGAGCAGAGAGAGGGGAGCCGGGGCGGCTCTCAGTGACTGCGACGCCCCGCGCCCCGTATCTCTAGTCTAATTCGTGGTTGGTGTGGCGCCGAATCATACATCATCAGAGTAGTAACATCTTGGATTTAAAACTCAGCCTCCCTTGTCCAGGGGCGAAGCGCTTGAAATCTAACAAAACGTGCAGCTTCTGGGCGGCTTTGACTTTCCGCGGGACACGCTGCCCCCTATCGCCCAGAGGCAGCTGAGCTTTGACCTAGGGTCCCACCTTTGCTTTTCTCGCAAAGGGAGTAATACACAGGTTAGAAGCCAAGGCGTGCCTTTAGTACATCATTCTCCATCTTAATGTCAGGTACCTGTTGACGTGCTGCATAAACTCAGATCACATTTTCTTCCTCACTTCTAAAATGTGACTTTTCATACCTGACTCAGCATTATTGTGACGATTGAAAGAGGATGGATGTGAAGCCCCAAGCTCAGGCTGATGATAGGTGACAGTGAGAGTTTACAAAGTGGTGAGAAAGAAGAACATAAAGCAGACATTCAGAACCTGGCCTGGCACTCACAGGTAGTCCATGCTAATCTCCTTTTAAATATAAAGCATCTCACAGAATACCAACCTCACCACTTGACTCCGAGATCAGAAGGTGAGACAAAGCAAGCCAACTTTATAACTTTGTCTAAGCACAAAGAGAAGATCACGGTTGTTACCCACCAAAATACCTGTCTCGTGGCTAAAATGAGTGACTACTTCTTTACCAATTACAGCTTTTACTTCATTCTAGTATCCCTTCACTCCAGATAAAATTTATCTTCCTTCCAGATCCACTCCAGATCTTCCTTCATAAATTGCCCTTGCTTTCTGACAGCATCCAACCTAGGGTGAACCGCCTACTTCCTTACACCATCTCTTTAGTCGTCCAACCAAAGTCCAAATCCTGTAACAGGTTTCTAACACCCTTTTACTTAGACACACCATGGTAAACTATGGTGTCCTTCCTTGCTGCAAAAATTAATGAACCCAACTGGTTTGATCGTAGGTGTGTCCCTGGTGGACTCTGGCTGGAGGGCATTGACAGTGCCTTTACAGTATTAACTCATTGTCTCACCTTAGGTCCCCCCAAAGCAGATCAGGGAACAAGGATCCGGTGCAAGTGACTCATTTGGGAACTTTGGGAATCACCAGTAGGGAAAAGAGGCAGGCAATACAGGATAAGTTATTCAGCTAGCAGACACTGTGGGCAATTAGTGCTAACACCACAGAGGAAACTCTGGAAGAAGATGGAGAAAACATGCTGCTATGGACTGAATAGTCATAGTTTGAAGCCCTAACCCTCAAGGTGATGGTATTAGGAGGTGGGGTCTTTGGGAAGTGATTAGATGAGTGCCCTTATAAAAGACTCCCCAGAGAGCTAACTCATCCCTTCCAACATGTGAAGATGCAAGGAGAAGTGGGCAGTCTGCAACCCAGAAGAGGGCTCTCACCAGAACTTGACCATGCTAGCATCAGACTTCCTGCTTCTGCAACTGCGAGCAATAAATTTCTGATTATGAGTCACCCAGTCTATGGTTTTTGTTATAGCAGCCTGAATGGGCTAACAGACTTGCCTCAGAGAAATCTCACCTGAGAAATGAGGGAGCTGGAGTATTTACACACCACTCCTTTTTCAATGGCTGAGGGCTGCTAGGTGTAGATGTTGATTCTCCAGACCTTCTCTCCTGTGGACTTGGCCTCAGGGTTTCAGTGAAAGATCTCAAGAAAAGAAATGTAGGCACTGTAGTTGGTATACATGCTGCCTTGAAGTGGTAAGGCCCAAGGGATCTAAGAATGGGATGCCACACTATCCACCACCCTCATTTAATTCTCACAACCCTATAAGACTTATTATTCTTTTCCCTATTTCCCAGAGGCATAAACCAGGGTAGGTGAGGAACTTGCCTCAAGCTCCACAGCCTTTAAGTGGTAGGGCTGGGATGGGATTCCAGCAGTTAAGCCCTAGAGCCTGAGCTCTTTACCACTGTATTTTTTTTTCCTGTTCGAATGTAACAAATTACCACCACCTTAGCTGTAACAAAAATCTGTCCTCATTTGTTGATGTTGACTGCTGGTAAATTTTAAGGCTCATACCTCCCTTTCTCTTATGTCTTGGGTCAGCTGGGCAAGTGGACAGAAAAGCCCAGATAACTCTCTCCTTTGGCGCTGCAGTCAAGCCCCTTCTCACACATGGATACCCACACTCTGACCCCTAACCAGCCCCTAACCACAATAAAACCCCCCAAGCCACTCTTTTTTCCTTACTGTATTAATTTTCCAGGGCTGCCACTATAAAGTAGCACAGACTCAGTGGCTTAACCAATAGAAATTTTTTTTTTCCACAATTCTGGGGACTAGAAATCTGATAATCCAGATGTTGGTGGGATTGGTTTCCTCTGAAGCCTCTCTCCTTGGCTCATAGATGGTGCCTTCTTACACTGTCTCCACATGGTTTTCTTTCTTTACATTTCTATGTCCAAATTTCCCCTTATTATAAGGACACCAGTCAAATTGGATTAGGGGCCACCATAATGACCTCATTTTAACTTTATTATCTCTTTAAAGCCCTATCTCTAAAATAGATGATTTGATCTATTTCTCATATTGTAAGGTATTAGGGGTTAGGACGTCAACATATGAATTTGAAGGGGACACAATTGAGCCCATAATACTTGCTCTGTCAAACCATTTTTAAATCAGCTCAGGAGGGCTGCTCTGTCCTCCCAAACAGTCTCACTACATAAATAATAAACATTTTTATATTCTCATGGTGTGTGGTGTGTGTATGTGGCATCATCAGTCTTAACATCCAAACTAAATTTTGGATGGGAATCTATCTTGTTTCCACAGAGATATTACAGCATTAGTGTCTTAAAATGATACATATTCATTATGTCACATTTTCTATGGGTCAGAAATCCAGATATGCTCATAGATAGTCCTAGACAGACTCTAGGACTATCCAGGTATGCTCAGGCTCTCAAAAGACTGCCATCAAGTTGTCCACTAGGCCATGTTTTCATCTGGACTCACCTGGAGAAGAATCTGCTTCCAAGTTCATTCAGGTTATTGGCAGAATTCATTTCCTTGTGCCCGTATGACTGAGGCCCACAGCTTTTGCTAACTGTTGGCTGGAGGCCACCCTCAGCTTCTACAGGTCACTTATAATTTTTCTATATGAGCTTCCTTGGGGTGACTGCTTATTTTATCAAGCTTGCAAGGAGAATCTCTCACCTCAGAGAGGCTCCAGTCCCTCTTTTAAGGATAACCACCTGATTAAGTGAGGCCCTCCCAGAATAATCGTAATCTCCTTTGATGAACTAAAAATCAGCTGATTTAGGACCTTACTTACATCTGCAAAATCCCTTCACCTTTGCCATATTCTGTAGGCTAGAATCAAGTCACAGGTCCCATCTGTATTCAAAGGGAGGGGATTATAACTGGGGTGAATACCAGGTGGTAGCAATTATTGGGACCTCTTAAAATTTTGCCTACCACAACCACTATGCTATACATGGGAAGGAAAGGCGATTGGACACATTTTAGGTAGACCCACACTTTACCACCAGTCAGAGGAGAAGAGCCATAAAATATACTCAGGCAGGGAAGACATTGGGTACTTGGCTTAACTGATTATGCACCAAGCTTGGTACACCTTGGCAGAGGGTTGGACTTCAAGAGAACAAGCCAGCTAGGGAAAAAATAACCACTATGAACTGAATACCAGAGAGGTCTCCCCAAAGGCCTGTGTAAAACCTGGAACCCTTCTCATGATTCTGAGAGGGAAAGAGAGAGCAGGGCACAAAGACAAATAAAAGTAGGAATGAAAACAGTTATCCTAACCACTAATGGTACGATATTTTACTTTTGCAAATTTTGGAAAATAAATGGCCCTGGCATCTTGGAAGGGCTGTATGCTTAAGGGGCCCCGAAGTTTACCAGCTCCAGGTCCATCACCTTTGCCCTTACTACACATTTTCATAGAGCTCCGAATTTTCCTTTTGCAGCTCTTTTTTTTAAATCAAACAATTTTAATCAAGTGAATAGTAAGCAGTAAAAGTGCAATTGCATGAAGAGCCCCATATTTCACATGTTCAAACGGTTTTCCAGTGTCTTTACTTGTAAGGTGTTGAAGGTGGGACCCACTCTTGAATCTTCTTTCTAGTGGTAGAATAAGGTACATATTTTTCTGGAGTGCCACTCACATTGAACTTATGGTTTGTCCAGATGAATTTACGAGCAATAGGTTGTCTTGTTGTTGGAGGATCATTGGTCATACAGGGAAGCCAGCGATGCCATTCAGGGGGCACCATGTTTCCATCCACATCCCAAAATGTGTTTTTGCCATTCATTTCAGTAGTATATATAACCCATCGGTGACGGCCAAAAAACTGCTTGTTGTCTTCATAGTATTTGTTTCCATATTTGTCTTCCCCCACTAAGGTACCAACCCTCACATCATTTGCCCTCTCTTTTATATACTAGGGTGTGGAGGTGAGTGTCTTTTTTTTAAGCCACCCTTCTATCAAAAGCTTGGTACATAGTGAGCCTTCCACAAATATTTGCTGAACGAATGAGCATCGAGGCTGTTGCCATCTTGTAAAGGCAGTGGCATAAATATAATTTAGAGAACT